ATATATATATATATATATATATATATATATACATATATATATATATATATATATATATATATATATATATATATATATATATATATAGATGGATAGATATAGATAGATAGATATATATATAGATATATGTATATATATATATATGTATATATATTTATATTGTATATATATATATTCAGCAAGGGCCATAGATAAAGTAACTGAATACTTCTTCGTATGATGGACACACATCCAGAGTGAAGGAAGAATATAAACTCAGTATTAAACAAGCCAAACAGAATTCTCCGCTCAGGGAGCTCCAACATACGTTTGAAGACGTCGTGGGGGGCGGAAACGTATCCAAAAGTCCGTTTGACTGAAACCACTTATTCTTTTTTATATCTGCAATCTGTTCGCAACCAGGAGTTGCATGGAATGAAAGGTTTCATCGGCTGCTGTTGAGAAGGCTATATCACAAATAACGCTATGCGCGATTCGGGTCACAGTGTGAATGTCGTTGGTGCGTATGGTATCGCCATAGAGGTAAGTCCACGTATACACTAGACAAAGCGTGCAGGCGATCGCAATGGGGCGCACAAACTACACCGTAAGTTAACGGTTGAATACAAGATGGGGTTTGATCTGAGATGCAAGTGCAGAACACCGCAAGACCTGTCGTGTATGGGACGACAACCCCCTGTGTGCACTCGTGCAGTCGAGGTCGATAGGGCAACCATCGAGCGAAAACGTTAATTCGAAAGCCTGATCATATAGGGCAACCATCGCGCGAACACGTTAAACGTTAATTGGAAAGCCTGATCATCACCCGCAGCACTTACGGTGAAACGCTTGTTGACATTCACGTATAACGTCCTGCGCAATACGTACTGCACTGCTTTGCTCAGATACGGGGGCACGGAGAACAATCCCGCCTTCACTTTCGTTAAGAGCCGGGGAAGGTTGTCGTCATCGAAGGGGAGACAGCCCGTTAACAGAGCGAACAGGATCACCCCACAACTCCATACATCGGCCCCCCTCCCATCATACTT